TGTACTGACTTTGACAATCTATTCAATGTTTTCAATTGCTCACTTTATGACATTTTCTGTCGAATATCCTAACCCAGTCACAACTATGTCACAGTACCATGAATTTTTGCAGCAGACACTTCTGTGGTTGAAAAATAATTCTTGAAGTTTGGCCCAGAAGCCAAAAAGAAAATTGCAAAAGCATTAGATCTAACTAAAAAAAAGTACCCGGTGGCCTAGTGGTTAGGCTCTCGGACTCGCAACCGGAAGGTCGTGGGTTCGAATCCCGTCAGGGGCCCGACGTTGTGTCCTTGGGAAAGGCACTTTGCACAGATTTTCCTCACTTCACCCAGGTGGAAATGGGTACCCGGCTATAGACAGTGAACGATCTTGTCAGTTTGATAGTGTTTGAGCGCGTGAAATCCGCAGCTTGCACTGTATGCTTCCCGGGAAGCTGAGAATGTTTCTGAGTGTTCTCAGAGGGTCTGCTGGGATAATAATAGTTGTAAAGCGCATAGAGCATGCTCTTGAGCATGGATATATGCGGATGCGCTATATAAATGCACTTATTATTATTATTAATAATAATGAAGAATTATTTGGAAAGTTAAGAAGAGGAAAAAGACGGAAAACAGGAAAGAAACAAAACTTTTAATATTTTACCTTGAATTTATCCAGGTAGCACCCCCTCTTGACTACCTCTAGGGGTAAGCCTTTTCGAAGGCGTGGCATTTTCCTCTAAAGTTCCAGCTCAATCACTTTAAAAAAAAAAGAGTTAGGCCTACATGCCAATTGTTGCTTCCTAGAAGAACCTAATCTAGATTCTAAATCTAGCTTAGATCTCGAAGGATTATTATAAAGACATAGGCCAATAATTGAAAGAAGGAACCTTGGCCCATAGATAGATCTAAGTTTAGAAATTCACATTTTTAACAACCGACAGGCGTCACAGATGGCGTAGATTTCTAGATCTATTCACATTAGGAAAAATCCACTTCCAAGAATACTTTCATGATTCTTGATCTCGAACCAGTATCACCTACAGCCTAGTTCTATACTCTAGATCTATTCACAGCAGGAAAAAATCCACGTTCAATTCTTTCATCATTCTTGATCTCGAT